TGTATATGTATATGTATAAGCATAAGTATATGTATTTATATATATATATACTTATATATATATCGTTTTAAAAATAGCTTTATTTCAGATAATCGACTTTGTTGCAACCACGGCCTTTATCTACCACAGTTGTCTCTGTTCTAAAAATAGACTTTTTTCACCCAATAATCTCTATTCTAAAAATAGCCTTTGCTCCACACACTTGTCTTGGTCTTTGCAGAAGTTTAACTCACTGGTGACCTCCATGACAGCCCATGACATGCGCAACGCAAAAGGCAGGCGGATAGCACATGTGGTACTCAACGCACCTGTGGATGAAAATGTGGATGGTCAACCAAAGGTAACCTGTTCATAGGCATACAGGCAGTGTGTGGCAAGTGCTTGATGTGTATGTATATAGCTACGCAGTGTCTGTGTATATCATTGCAGAGCGTACGTCTGCTTCCTTACTTACCTCTGGTTTAGGGTTTAGGGTTTTAGGGTTTACCTAAAATGGCATGAGCGTGTGCCATCGTCACCCACGAGTTGCCAGACCACGCGGCCACTCGTTGTGGTGATGCCGACGCTTGTGACTGCGTTTAAACATACTATTCGCAAGAACAGTGACAGTGTGTAGCACGGACTGTGCATTGGTATATGGGCAGAGACAGACACAGATCACTCACTTCCACACGGTTTCGCATTGATCTTCAGCAGAAGGCCAACCATATGACCGACAAATCCTCGGTAAAGGGTACTGATTCTGCATCAAGGGCGGCAGCCCAGCCTGTGTATTCCGGTAAATCGGTAACTGCTGGGCCAACACACAAGCCAGGCTCAATGTATGAGACCCTCGAGGTATAGTGCGTGTAGGCTGATCTGACAATTGGCGTCAATAACTGGCACTGAGTGTGTGTTTGCTGAAGTACGTAAGTTTGAGGCTTTGCACTGTTTCCCAAAGTTTTGCATCACATACAGCGTCACCAGAGGTCTCGTTAGTATGGTACGGACAAGAATGCGCGGCAGATTAATAATATTGAACAGGCGATTCATAAACACCTGGCTACCCACCCTGTCAACCCCCAGGTAACCATGGTAACCCTCACTGCCCTGGTTACCATAATATCTCAGAGTTTTATTTCACGGTTGTCATCGTCATTGTTATGAGGTGGTTGCGGCTGGCTTGATGTAAGTACGCACTTCACAGACAAGCTTATGCGCAGAACTATAAATAGTACATCGCATGGGCACATGCGAATACTACTATACTTGCCAGAAACTCTCTGCACAGGCAACGCTTTAAACTGGCTGCACCACAGACGGCAACTGATAACCAGTGTACTTTGTACGTCTTCCCGGAACATACCAGCCACAGCCCTGCACTGCAAGACATGTCATAGTGATACCACTGGCTGTCAATTGCACAAGGTCAGCTCACACCAACACCTTGGTGTATTGCCTTATACAGATAACCCCGGGTAACCCTAGAACCCTAAAACCCTTAACTCTACCCCGTCCCGCACTCACATCCTTGGGCTGTCTATACTTTGTCCTTGTGCACAGCATATCGAGCATGCCACCAGGGGGTTCACCTTAGCGTACTCCAAGGGGTTCTACAGTACAACAACCAGTGACCCGCAAATGGACCAAGACTGTCTCCACCCTATCGGCATTGCAATGGCAAAGGTGTGGGTGCAGAAGCAAGTGCAGAAGCAAGTGGTGGCCAAACAGCTATCTGAGATCATTGAGTACTGACTATGATAAGGCAACTCCTGGTTTTTAGGGTTTCAATCTGTAACCTCTAGAAAATTGCGATAGCATGGCGGTATATGTATATCTCTGGTACCATGGAGACTGCGTCTTATGAGCGAAGTATCTGAGTGTTTGCCTTTCTTGTCTGTAGTGTGGATGTGTACATATGTAGTGTGGATGTGTATATATGTAGTGTGGATGTGTATGTATGTAGTGTGGATGTGTATGTATTTCCTCGTGAGGTGATAGGTAGATGCGCGTGGCCTTGAGCGTGGCATTGTCATTAGAGCCCATTCTCCTTAGAACAGGTGTGTGGTATAACAAACTGTTGTTGTTTCGCGTGCCCTCCGTAACGCAGACGGGATGTCACGTTCTGTGGCAGAAGTGGGAGACTATCACTTGTATATCAACTGGCAATGGTTTAAGTGCTGTCTGTAGCTTATAGCTGCTGGCAAGAGAAGTATGCCAATGGTTTCCTTGGAGGCAGTTACAAACCCAGTACGTGATGCCTGCTTTCCAGAGCCCTATCCAGGTCTGTTGCGTCCTGTGCTGTTCTTGTTATAACATTATAATGCGCCCTACCAAATGGCCTCACCCTTCACACAGTTTGGCTTCACACTATTCTGCGATTACCGACTGAGCTTAAGCCTATGGGCTCGTAGACTGTCGTCACCGCACTTGCATGCATATCCTGAGGTTCTTAATCGCAGCCGCATACATATTCTGAGGTCCTTCACTTATGTACCGAAATTTCCGCTCGCAATGTGCAGAAATCGATGACTGAAGACGACTTCAAAACTGCCATCGCGGCCGTGCGGGCTCTCAGTTCAAAGCTACCGCCAAAAGTAGTCAGGGTGTGTGGAGAGACGCAGGACTTTCAGAGACATACTGTGCGTATGTGTATTGGGGGGAGGGGGGGGGAAGTATGTATAGGGTGTGTGTGTGTGTGTATAGGGCGTGTGTGTATGTGTCGTAGGGGATGTGTGTATATGTGTAGGGGGTGTGTGGTTGCTCTTGATACGTTAAACTTTATCCCTAAACGTTGAGAGTGCCAAAGTTGATCTTTGTTTAATGTACTTAATGTAATACGTTACACCGGCACGTTGGGAGTGTTGTAATAAGTCTATGTCAATCGTACGTACTGTGATGAGTGTCGTAGTATGTCTACGTCTATCGTGATCGATACTTGTTTTTAAAAACACATATTTATATCCACCAATCCAATGCAGAAACCGTTAAAGAAAGGTCAAACCACTGACAAGACCCAGAAACAACGCGGATCAAAGCCAACCTCACACCAGACGGCAGTGGCTAGTCAGAGTGCCAGCCCCACCAGAGCCATCAAAGCAAAGTCTTACTGGAACAACCTGTTGACATACGCCACCTTGTTCGAGAATTCGTCCAAGGCTCATGGGATGGTCGTAGCCCACATCAGACGGTCCATGGAGATGGGTGTGTTATTTAGCGGACAGAGTTTGCTTGTTCGAGTACGTGCGTGTGTGTGTGTTGCGCGTGTGTGTGTGTGTGTGTGTGTGCGTGTGTGTGTGTGCTTTTGCGAGTGAATATAAGCTTTGTTTGCAATGTTCTAAAATCATGGTAACGTATGGTCTTTACATACATCTTTCGTGTTGCTAACCTACGGTTTGTCTTGACACTACAGCACTGGAGATGGCGGATGCGCCAGACACACCAATTGTAGTGACAGAAGGTACAATGGTTGTACTTACGTTAACCAGAATCGGGAGAGACGTGCAGGTTCTTATGTTATAGTATACATAGTCAGCTGGTATATCCCTATAGACGCTGTCTATGTGTTGTTCATTAACAAATAACTTTGCTGTCCAAGAGCGAGGATGATGATGTAGTGGTCTGTGTTAGTTTTGATACGTTGGATTTGCTATGCAGGGGAGCAACACTCTGTACGCACTGCGTACATATACATATGCATATA